TAATAGTCTTGTTTTAGTCTACGTGGGTATCAACAGTATTAACCCCACACATTGGCGTCGTCATGATATTCAGCAATAGTATAGTATACTTTAGCCATAAGTTTACTTTTAACTTTTCGTTTAAATTCATCAAGTGGCAGACTTAACCGCCGCTCATAGACATTTGCAATACGCGTGCAGTTACGGATGCGTTGCCACATTTTATTAAAACGGGCTCCGGTCCGCAGCCACTCAGCAGACGTAACACAGAAGTATAACTCTTCTGTGCTACGACTGCAGGTCTTCCCAATCGTCCTAACAGCTGAGACTGTCGCGTGGTCCTACTACAGTATATACAGCGTGTCGATACAACCGCGACAATAAATGAACACACATATAGAGGATTACTTTTTAAAATTGTGTTAGACATTTACTTTCTTAAACATCAATATTTACAGAGTTGTTAAATTTTCCAAAAAAAAAAAAACAATTTTTGGAACATCCTTATGTATAAAACTGTAAAGTAACGTTCATTTGTATAGGTCACAAAGCATATGAATAGGTTGAATGAGTTTAAAAGAGATACAATATACTGTTAGAAGGAGAGACTTGTGATGCGACGCTGGGGCAACGAATGAAAAAGTCTCGGAATGTATGAGTCAGTCAGTTGTAGTTGTATAGGATGTTACAAATTTTGTTTCTTTTTTATTTAGTTTGTTTGAAAAAAAATTTTTTTTGAACTATGGATTTTTTTAACTTTTTAATTTTTTTATGATTATTGGCAAGTAGCGTTAGACGGGTGTAAATGAACACTCGTCTAACGCGGTTGTCGCCGTTGTAACGATACGCTGTATATCCCCAACTATAAGTTATCAAAATTTAACTTTGCGAGCAATTTTTTAAATAATACGGTGCTAGTCAATTGCTCTGTGCGTGGCTGTTGTCATCATATGTTCCCGATTCCACAATCACTTTGTTTGGTGCATTAAAGAATAAATAAATTAATAATAGTTTATTTTAATATAGTATTTACTTTATTAAAGGTCACATCCACAAACAATTAATTGTTAAAAACTTTAAACATTTTGTAAAATATACACTAATGGAGAGGGCCTATTATAATGCCGAAGAATAAATACATTGAGGACAAGGATGTGTGGAAGTGACTTTCTCTGCACTTGCAACTGCTCTGGCTGCTGCTAATTTTATACTTAAATACATTTGTGTACTTCGTAATTCAAAAGGAAAACCCAGCCAAGTGCGAGTCGGGCTCGCGCACGAAGGGTTCCGTACCATTATCTATGAAAACGGCAAATAAATCATGTCTGTGGTATCTGAGCCCCGATTAAATATTTTTTATTTTGTTTTTTAGTATTTGTTGGTATAGCGGCAAAAACATCATCTATGAAAATTTAAACTATCAAACTATCACGGCTCATGAAACAGGTGGACATACAGACAGCGGAGTATTAGTAATATGCTACCGTTTTACCCTTAGGGTACGGAACCCTAAAAAGATAAGATCACAGATTTTCTTGCCGGTTCTTCTCTGGACAGGTCATGTGGTAATTTTTTGACGTTCAATAAGAACTTAAAATAAGCCTGGATTGAATAAAGCAATTTTGACTATGACTCCGGTTTCTTTGAATGTATGCATGCATAAATGTTTGTTGTCGATATGAGCTCATCTGAAAGTCTGCAACTGAGTTATTTTCATTTAAAACATAAACGCAGAAAATGAAAATAACCGTCCAGGTTCAAAGCATGTAATCGCGAGTGAACCTATTTATACTCTTTGTACTTTCCAGAAAATAGCGGAACGGCGAACGCCAGCGTCCAATAGCTTTTGCTTTTCAAATGGACTCTCAGCACCTTAAACCGAGGCGTCATTACGGAAAGGAATTCCACTTAGTTTTCATTCCATCGACTCCTTTGATATCCATTAAAGCCTCTGAACGGAGATTCGATAAAGATACTCAGTATTGGACGCTTAAAAGACTGCAGGGTCGTTTGGAACAAAGGACTAGAGGCGAGTGCAGTCACGGGCGGGCTGCATTTTTATTTTCACTCCAAGCGAACGTCTATTGCCTCTTTCATTGTAACGGCTATATGTACTAAAAGATAAGATGGTTTTCTATTCGGCTGTTCTGCGTTTCTTGATTCAGTCACCACGTGGTTTAATACGGGGGCTGTTACGCAGATTTTTGCCTTGATATCCATTCCATTAGAGATAAATTCCGACGTACATGGTATCTGTCCAAATTTAAAAGTTTATCTATATTTAAATTTTTTTTATGTGTAAAATTGCCAAACGAGCAGACGGTTCACCTGATGTTAAGTGAATACCGCCGCCCATGGACATCTGCTACACCCGAGGGTTTGCAGATGCGTTGACAACATTTTTTGGAAAATTGGGCTCCGGCCACCTCACTCACCAGACGAAACGCGAAAGTATTTAAATCATACTTCCACTTTACGCCGGTCTTCTGTGAGGTCGTGGTACTTACCCGAATGAAGCTGCCCATTCGTGCAACAGCCGAGGCTGCTGCGTGGCTCTACCACCGTGAAATCAATAATCGTAAGTTCCTTTAAATTAATATGTGCTACCCAGGAGTAAGTTTTGTAATATACTTTGAGATCACTTGTTGTTTACCTCTTCGATTTGTTAAAGGTCCACGTTATAATCTGCCTTCTGTGTTGACATCACATTTTTATCGTTACTGACTTTAGTATTATTCGAAGTTATTTTTCTTTTGGCGCGTTTGGAAAAATTATGAGAGTAAAATTTTGACACCGACAGCCAAAAACGACATGATGAAGTTGGTTGCAAAGCAAGGTTACTGTATCACCATGGTAACCAATAACAACTATTTGCATTTCATTTTTTTTTGGTTTTAAAAACAGTGCCCATACTTTAGGATAACATTATCCTGTATTGCAAGGACGTTTTACATACATAATTTTCACGTGGACAAACACCCATATGTGAAAAAACTATCTGTGGGTCACACAAATAGGTGTCCCGTGTGGGAATCGAAGCCACGACCCCCGACGCCGAAGCCAATACCTTGACGACTGCGCCACGGAGTCACCGACTTACAAGTTATTTAATTAAACCGCTATCAATTGCATGTCTTTGAACTATCAAAGTGTAATGGAACTGGGGATGAAATTCATTTATTTATTAGCAATATTTTATAGTGTTACATTTTTTTTTGTAATGCTAAAGAAGCCTAACTAACGTGCATAAGTTTTTTTTTATGAGACAAAGTGGCAAGCGAGCTGGCGGTTCACCTTAAGTGAAGTGATAACCGTCCATGGACATTTGCAACACCCGTAGGGTTACAGATGCGTTGCCACCTTTTATTAAAGTGGGCCCCGGCTACCTCACTTACCAGACGAAACGCAGAAGTGTAGCACTTCTACTTTACGCCGGTCTTTTGAGAGGTCACGGTACTAACCCGGATGGACCTGCCCATTCGTGATATAGCGAACACTGTTGCGTGGCCCTACCACACATTTCACACATGCTTTTCATTTTTATATTTATTTGTAACAATGGATGTTCAAACAATCCTAAATGAAGATCTTTATTTATCTAGTTCCAATTTAATGCAAAACATGGATATAAATTGGACAAGTGTCTGTATACACTAAATATGATGTAAAATAGATTTAATAAGGGTAAATTTTTATAAAATCTTAAATTTGAACTCCAGCATATTTGTTTATAACATAAAACATAAAAAAATTGCAATAATTATTAATGAGGATTTTGATATATTTTCTGAACGCAATGCTTTATTGCATCCAAATATAAACTTATAAATTTCTCCTCACAGCTTTAATAAACATGGAAAAAATGATTTTGTACAGTTATAATTTTCTTTAACTCAAAAGCGGAAGCCGATGTTTTTCCACGAAGTTTTACGAGAGAACATGCGTACAACGGGTACAGTCTGGCAAACTTCAAGCCGCTATATAAGTGTGTTATTATTCTATTTTCTTTTGATATATACGGATACGTAACTGATGTTAATCTTGAAAAACTCATTATTAAAACTTTTATAAATATTATTAAAACTTTTATTGGTAGAGCTTCGCATTTCTTAAACTTTTTCTCTAGTGTCGAGGATTTGGTACACATAACTTGTGCACATAATTTTACCACTAAGCAGTATTTGTATACGGGTATGAGAAGCTGGTGCGAAATTGCATCCATATGTCTAATGAATATTAATACGCAAATCCGTTGAGCGATGCAGGCGTATTGCGACATTCTGCAATTTACCTAATCTCTTAGGAACACCTGACTGTTTCTCCAATTTCGTTGTTATACCAACTATTTCTAATGCATAGATATTAAGGCCTTTAATTGCTCTAAACTAATTCTTGTAGACCTTAAGGCCTTTAATCGCTCCTAATTTCTGAAAAACATATTTCAGCCCCCAGAAAAATTTTATAAAATTAAACCTTATCTTTATCCATATTATCGAAAACGGATATAAATAAGATTTAATTTTGATTATCAACTGAAAACGAGAACATGATCTTATGTCAGATTCCAGTCCTAGAGGGTAGTAAGATAGGGAAAATAGCAATACCGACAATCCTTTCCTCCTACGGCACCATCAATACATCAGCGGTACACATAAGGCAATAGGAACCGCCCTATTCCCCGCAACTCTACTTCACTTGCAAAGGTTGCAGGGAGAGTCTACCTCTACCATCTTAAACCTGATCCCCACATCTCCTGCACCCATCCATCATGAGATCAATGAACCCATTCGGAGTGACCCTCTCGCGGGAGTCTTTTACGAAAGTTTGGTCCAGTGTAGGTTATTTCGGCTTCGCCGTGAGGGGAACGAGTCTCGGCTAATAAGATCCACCACCTCTACTAGGGTAGTCTCCGTTCAGAGGCAGCAAACCGCTGTATTGAGAGTGAGCCCAGTAAGTAAGGCAGTAGGATGTCTACTACTCAATTGGCGTGTTAATTTCCCGTTCTACCTGCGACCCTCTCAATGCTCCCCGGACCCAGTGGTGGGGATCCATTTGGGATAATTATGTTCGGTGAGATTCTTAAACTGTAGAATAGACTCGACAGAGACCTCGGATAAAATTTTATGCCGTATAACCTGATCTGAGCTTAATCATCTCTTTGCAAGCTTGGATAATGGGGAAGTTTGAGTTGGCAGTGGAGTTAGACCAAATGAAATATATCATTGCCCTCTTCAGGACTAAAGTTGATTCTCCATCTGAGAAACCAACCAAAGATGCAATCTACAGCACATTGAAGGAGAATAGTTATTGGGTCAAGATGTTAGTCTTACAAGTACGAGATCAACGTCGGGATCTTTAGGGACGTATAATATAGATGTGTTCATCTATAGTGCCCAAAAATGAAACAAACGAAATTCGGTACAGATTGTCCATATAAAGCGATTAAAAAAAAATTTCGCGTGCTAATTTTAACGAAACGATAACGGTTCAAAATGTTAATGTTATACAACAAGTTATGTAGAAAAATATCTTGTTACCGTTCTTTTCAATACGAAAACGTCAACGTGTGTCAACGCTACTAAAGAAGCCGTTAGCGTACTGCGATAGAGGCAGCTTTAAGAGCACGAGGACATTGGAGACGCGTTAAAACAAGACAAAAGAACCAACCCCGGCGCGAGTATAGAGTGCGCCACAAAAGAACTTCATCGCTGTCATTTCCATTTTCTCAGCGCCCCGCAAACTGTAACCTCGTGTGGCCACTAAATAATCGATTCGGCCGACTATGGGAATGTTATAACTTTTAAACTTACTTAACATAAAAAAAGTACTTACAAGCCGATGAAAGCACCTGCACCAATATAAAGTTTCATTAATTACAAATTAAAGCTCCTCCAAATTATTAACAACGACATATATGGAGTATATGCTATATAATTTAATTATATTTCAGAAATGAGCATTTAAAAATTTTAATGGCAAATCACATTACCACGTAATGTTTAGGAAAAAAATACTACACTATACGTATGTCCCGCAAATGAACTTCGCTAACGGACAATCAAGCTTCTAGAATTTCTAAGACTGAAGACTGACTTATGTTTTGATGAACGAATGAATGAATTACTTGTTTACTGTAATAGTTAAACGTGTAAGATTTACTGCATTTTTTTTTGTGTCGATAGGAAATTGCTAAAATGTCCCCATCAAGAATTAATTAATTCATGTACATAAATTAGTAGGTACATTTTTATTAAAAAATATGACATTGATCAGATATAATGTAGAAAATGTTACCCCATTCCTGAGGACATTGATTTATCGCTAGTTTAATAGCTTCACTGCACGATTGTACTCCTCCCTGTGTCTTCGGTATAAATGGGTGGGCAAAGGCTTCGTTCTTATTTCCGGTACGGCGCATGTGGCGTCAGCATGTGCGACGGAAACAAACGGAGTGTGTCAAGACACCCCAATAACTATGTGCTTGTATTGGCGATATTTGTGATACAAAATTTTAATTAAAAGGAAGCGTTTGGTCTTCATTGTACATACATTAGAGGTTACTAATTTTAATAATATGTGTAGAAACTTGAGAACTTCGATTTTCTGCTTACTTTTCTTCAGAATTTTCTCGTTTCTAAAATGGATAATATAAATCCAAGCTTTTATTGGAACGAAGTTCCTTACGGCAGGCTTGGAGGGGATAGGGATTTTGCTGCGCGACCGAACTGAAAAAAATGTGATAGTAAAACCGTAAGAAAAAATCCGTGGAAAAAAGTGCGTGGAATAAAACCGTTAAATGAGACGTGCGCAGGCGCGACAGTCGCATACACAAGCGAGTAGTGTATAATTTTGTTATTTTAGTTGATAATTTGAATAACGATGTTTTTTTTTATTTTAAGTAATTTATTATTTCCTAAAATACTGAGTTTCCTAAATACTTTCTTGTACTTAAATAAAAACTAATCAGCAAAATTTAAGAGAAAAATCAAGAAAACCTACATAAAATTGAGCACGATTTTTTTTGCAATTTGTGTCGATTCTACGTTAGCCGAAGGAACTTCGTTCCTACCTGGTGTCCCACGACACCACATCATTTTTCTGAACATCGAAATTCCACAGAACTAGAAGCAAGGATAGAACGATTTCCTCTGTACGTTGGATAAATAGTTTATAAGTAAAATGAAAGATAATTTTCTAAAAGCCGCAATACGAAAAATTGCTTGTAATACATACTATTTTTTATTAAGTTTCAGTGAAAATTTGAAGAAAAATGTACGAAAAGTTTTTCGCCGCTGTGGGAATCGAAACCACGTCATCGGGATTTGCGCCCAGACGCTTCAAGCACTAAACTAAAGGGTTGATTGCCACACCAGCGAAAATATCATCGTCTTTTATCTACATTGTTTTTTCGAATTTCAAGCAATGCTTGGCACGTCCAATGTATCATCTTAAGTTTAGAGATTAGCACTATAAAACTTAAGATTCTGTTCTCTAGGAATTAAGTCCGTTTCATAGTGTTGTAAAAACAACCTTTAATTTAATACTGTCACAACGTGGATTCAGCGTGGGGGTCGTGGTTTAGATTTCCACACGGGACACCTATTTGTGTAACCCAAAGATAGTTGTTTCGCATATCTGGGTTGCCCACGTGAAATTTATGTTTGTAAAACATCCTTACAACACGGGACAATGTTATCCTAAAAAGATAAAGAATATAAATATTAAGTTAAACCTGTTAGTATGTCAACGTTCTGTATGTATTTAGTCGGTGAGCCTTAATAGATAAATGAATAAAAAACTAATGGCTTTATATTTTTTCTTTTTATGTGAAAAGTTGCCAGGCGAGCAGTCGATTCATCTGATGATTCAAGTGAATACCGCCCATGGATATCTGCTACACCCGAGGGTTACAAATGTTTTGAAAACCTTTTGAAAATTGAGCCCCGGCTACCTCACTCATCAGACGAAACGCGAAAGTGAAACGTGAGGTCGTGGTACTTACCCGGACAAGCCTCATTCATGCAACAATCGAGGCTACTGCGTGGCCCTACCACAGTAAAATGGTTAAATGGTTTATGGAAGCAACTCAATTTTTTTTTACAGGACTTGGGATACTGCCGGGGGTGAGTGGGGGCGGAGAGCTGCATCCGGAGAGACCCTACTTCGATGACGTGTCGCCACGCAACGTGACAACACTCATCGGCCAATCAGCAGTACTACGGTGCCGCGCTAAGCACATAGGAAACAGAACGGTATGAATGAAGTATCAGCATATACATGTCCCACTGCTGGGCAAAGGTCTCCTCTGTACAGAGGGTATCAGGGCATAGTCCACCACGCGGCCCCACTGCGGATTGGCGGACTTTACATATCTTCGAAATATTATTTTTTCGAAAATATGCAGATTACCTCACGATGTTTTCCTTTACCGCTGAGCACATGATAATTCAGCACTTAAAATTAATAATTTTATTGGTGCTGGCACCAGGGATCGAACTCAGGTTGCTCGAGTATGTTAAAAGCGAGTGCCCGGACACGGAACTATCACGGCTCATACGTTACGTACGAATGATTGATTCTTTCAAATACGTTTATGCCTCAAATATTTGTACAGACTAGATTATTAAAATTAATTATTGTAATTATTACCGTCAAGTTTTTCTTTAAATGTTCGGAAAAATGCACGTTTTCCTCGCGGGTTTTAATAACATGATATCATGAAACTAGTTTCAACGGTACCTACGACCTCGAGTCCCAATATCCTGGGTGCGAACATTAGCATATTCATGGGAATACGCGGAACGTGATTGAAAATATTCGGCGGGCGAATCTAGGCCTCAACCCGGCCACCTGAAAATCTCAACTTTACGACCGTTCATGAGCCGGCTTCGGATTAAATCGAGCGCCAGATTCAAATTGAGCGCGTGACTTGTTAGGGAAATGGCCGGAGCGCCGTACTGGCCGATGTCTACAGCTGTTGCTTGTTATTTATTAACGCGCTGGCCATTACGGTCCCAGGATCAGCTCTACTTTGCGTTCAACTGTCCCCTGGGCGCTGTACCGAGCGTCGGGAGAAAAACTAGGCCGCGCCGCCGGTGACGTGATATTCCGTTATATATTATGAATAAATTAGCCGTTAACGGACAGGGGATGGTGGAAGTTATAACAAACTGGACGAGCGGGGCCGCTTTGTCGCCTTTAAATTATTTATGTCTCCAGCGATGTTGCTTGTGAATTTATTTAGCATTTATACTGCCTCCAATAGTCTTTTCTATCATGATGCGTTACGGCTCAGTAAGCGGGGTACCTTAGCATTAGGTTCTGAGGTTGCGAGTCGAAATCCAGTAACAGTAAATACAGTGAGTGTAGTTCAACATACATGGTCCCATTTTATTCGTGACATATATATGTCTCTGTATTGAGACTATAAGCTCGCTAAAACATTAATTAAACTGACGATTGCTACATAATGACGACAATTGCTATGTCTGTATTTCAGTATCAAAATGAAAACAACATATTTTACGTTTTCACAATTTGAACATGTTTGTTACTACAACATAGAACCTAACTGTCCTCGTTGATAAGTGAGCTTACTGACTTTTTAATTTGTGTCTGGAAATTGGAATCGATGTATATTCCAAACAGTTTGGAACATTGAAGTATTGCAAGCTGTTTGGAATATACATTTCAAATAAGTAAGAGATTCTGTTTTTCGAAATATATTGTAAAATTACGTCCATAAAAATACCAATTTCAATCTTGAAAACGTATCTCAATCTTGTCATATTTAAATTTGAAAATAAGTATATTTAAGTATTTGATAATCGAGACAAAACTCTCGACGTAGGCTGCGACTTAACTACAGACAGCGTAAATTTATCTTGCTCATTGATTTCTAAATTATAATCACCGAGCTCTTTACAAAGCTTAAGGTCTCCTCAACCTTTAGTTACAATGAACTGTCTAGGAATTAATTAAGAAATATATGTCTCACTGAACTTTGTATATCCATAATAAAACCTTAATTTAATTAACTGTTTATGAATTAATTAATCAAACGAGCTGGCGGTTCACCTGATGTTAAGTGATGACCACTGATCAAGTTTGCGACATCCGTAGGTTTGTAGATACGTTGCCACTCTTTAATAAAGTGGGCCCCGGTCAACTCTTAGTAAAATTTTTGAAAAAATCATGTTGAATCAAAAATGTTACAGCACTTTAGCTCTCATAATTTATTACATAACAAGCAATATGGGTTTAATCGCTCAACAACTGATGCGGGTGCTCAGCTCGTTATAAATATTGTTGAAGCCTCGGAAGAGTCGCAGGGTGCCTTACTGTGATTGTGTGAAAGCCTTTGATTGAGTACAGCATGAGACCATGGTCAGGAAACTACGCCACCATGGTATAATAGATACCGCACTCAAAATGCATCACTAGCTAAATTTAAAGAAGTAGTAAAAGAACGTTCGTGTGTATAATATTAATGATTATTTAAATGATTATTTAAATGATCGCACCAGGCTCTTTCACAGTTCTTATATTGTATTACAAATACAATATAATATGAATTCATGTCAGAATATTTATTTAAAAAGAGTTAATAAAAAAAAGCCCGCTGAGTTTACTTCGCCAGTTCTTCTCAGTACAGTGGCTTTCTTTTCCGAACCCATGGTAGTATTTTGACTATCAATAAGCGAGTGTACTCCTATGTTGAATAAAGACATTTGATTTTGATTTTGCTTTGCTTGAATTAAATAACCTCAATATTAATATTGACAAAACAAAAATAATACAATTTTCGACACACAAATCCAAAAAAATAGACATTAACATTCAATTTAAAATAAATCGATAGAAAAGGTGCAATCTGCAGTATTTTTGGGCTCCAATATTGATAAACAATGCAATTGGAAAGAGCACATTTTTAAAATTTGTAAGAAATTAGACCGATTTGCATACCATGGATATGTTTCATGAGTTCTAAGCTTCGGTTTACTGTTATAGGGTAAATCTGTCGATAGCCAGAAAGCATTTGTAGTACAAGAAAATGTACTCGTGCTGTATGTAATTTGGGGTATTGTGAGAGTTGTAGATCCACCTTTAAGAAATTAAAAATTCTTCCATTAATAATAATATATAATAATAATAAAATATCTTTATTCGCATAGACGCTTGTGGGTTCTTATGAAACGTCGAAATTTTAAAAGGAAATTAATATGTTCGTAAGTTACCACCGGTTCGGATTATGTATTACCGTGTATGTCTCACATACATGATATCTGTTTGTTTGTTAGACAAAATTTAAATTTATTTATAAAATAGTCTGATGTAGCACAGAGGGATTCTATCTAGGAACAAAAATAAATTATTCTTGCCTAAATCAGGCAACTCCTTCTTTAGCAGGAATGCTTTCTACATGGCGATCTGTGTGTACAATCGTCTGCCAGCCACAATAAAAATGAAACAACTCAAACATTTAAACGTAAGTTGATCGAATGGCTACTCAGCAAGTGTTTTTATAGTCTTTCTGAGTATTTCATATTTTATTTAGTTTTTAGTATTTCATATTTTATTAATTTTGTGTGTAAAATGATTATTCAATTAATGTAATTATAATAGTAAATATAGGTGATATATAGAGCAATTTGAAACGACATGTATTCTTTTGTTTTTCTCTTTGATATATGTATGACAATTTATATAAAAATCTAAATTGAAATAAAACTAATAAATATTTGAAAGCCAATTAAAGAGGCAGAATAAGTGAACTTGTGTTATTCTTCCAAATAAATAAATAAATTACTATTTTTTTTAATTTCTTTTATATTTTGTTAATTTTAGTTTTTCTTTCTCTTTTATTGTGTGTGTCTTTTTTTTGGTAAATAAATGTATTTTCTTTCTTGCTTAAAAAAATACTTAAAAAAAATACTTACCCGGACAGACCTTCGTGCAACGGCGAAGACTATCGCGTGGCCCTACCACAGTTAAAATGGGATTACTCGGTTGTTATTATGTAAATCATATTTGCACCACATTACATACACATGGAAAAGTGGGCTTTATTTTCAAGTTGGAACAAAGCAAAGAGATAAAACTAGTGCCAACGTTCAGCGTCCGTTTTTATTGCTCCGTTTCAAAACGAACGTTTGACTATTTTTTTACATGAAACACATTTCCAGTGAATGTCCACGCACTGAAAATGTATTTTTTTAATATAGTTTTTGTTTTTTTTTTATTAAAGTTGTTGAACTTGTTCTTTTTTTTTTTTTTTTTTTTTTCTTTTTTTTAGATCACATTTGTACACAACATTTTCTAGTCCCAAACTAAGCAAAGCTTGTACTATGGGTACTAGAAAACTGATAAACATACTTAAACATACTTTTCTTTTGTAAATAAATACATATTATACATATAGAAACACCCAGACACTAGAAAAACACCATGTTCATCACACAATATTTTTCCAGTAGTGGGGATCGAACCCACACCCTCTGGCGCAGGAGGCAGGTACACTACCCACTACGCCATTCGGGTCGTCAAATGTTCTATTCTTTATAATGCCCAAAATTATTGATAAAATTTTAGGGTTTCGTACCCAAATGGTAAAACGGGACCCTATTACTAAGACTCCAATGTCTGCCTGTCCGTCTGTCACCAGGCTGTATCTCATAAGCCGTGGTAGTTAGACAGTTGAAATTTTCACAGACGACGTATTTCTTGTGTCGCTATAACAACAAATAGTAAAAAAGAGAATAAAAATATATAAGCGGGGCTCCCATACAACGGACATTAGTTTTTTTACCGTTTTTATAGTGCGAGTACAACTCGCACTTGGCCGGTTTCTTGCTCACTTAGAGACGGCCTATTTCTCTTGAAACGCTTCATTTCTTCATCTCCACATAATTCATCGAGCGATGAGCTCAATTGGATTCAATGTGAAAAATTAACTCGCTTAGCCGTTACTTAATTTCATTATTTTAAAGGCTGTAAAAAGACTGCGGACGCTCCATCTTGCTTAATTACGGCGAAAGCTTACGCGGCTCAGGGCGGGCTTAGTCTAATTACGCCCAAAAACAAAAACCCAACAAAGGGAGGAGAATTTATTCTCTAATTTCTCAGCCTCGAAGCTTTGGAATTAAAAAAAATATTTAATTCCGGCGTCCATTGTCGGCGGTTTTAATCAAATCCAACTTTCTTAAGCTCTTGCGGTGTTGTTAAGAGCAATTGAATTTCGAGTAATGGAAAAATTGAACCGAATTGTCAGTACCCACAACAACTTTTTGTCAAGAATGGGCACCTAATTGAGTAGAGATCTCCAAAGGTCAAATTGTTACACTGTTCATCTGTATATCTTGACATTTTAAAGATCAACATTTTATGCGTTTGTACAGTAACTATTCGAACTTTGTGGCTTAAGAGTTATGCAATGCAGCAAAGAAATTTATAAACAAAATAAAACATTATATACAGATGTAGGGTAAGACAGATAGAAATAGACTTGAAATCCTAAAACATTGAGAATAGAAAGAGACTTTAAATGTTTATGACTCCATCAGCTAAGGCGAAAATGCTCCTAAATCAATATTACAAACCGGCCAAGTTCTCGTTGTACTCGCGCACGAAGGGTTCCCTACCATTATCTATGAAACCGGCAAAAAATTAAGTTGTGTTGTTTGTATGGGAGCCCAAATTAAAGATTTTTTATTGTGTTTATAGCGGAAATCGAAAAACGTCATCTGTGAAAATTTCAACAGACTAACTATCACGGTTCACGAGATTCAGTCTGGTGACAGACGGGCAGATAGACAGCGGAATCTTAGTTACAGGGTCCCGGTTTACCCTTTGGGTACGGAACCCTAAAAACGACCCATGATATTTTACTGTTATTATTGTAAGACGAAATAATCTGAAAACGAAAATGCCTCTCCTTCAACACGGCACCGAAATAGGTTTTATCTTCAATGTGACACTCAAACGATAATCCTGGAGCGGCGATATATTACAATGCATCGCAGAACATGTCGTTGGGCTATTTATTTTCTGGAATGGGCTGCGGATCCTACGGCCATTAATATGGCGGTCAGTGGAGCGTTGCCGAGAAGGGTTATCGGGCCCAATGAGTAGATCGACAATGAAAAATGATATTTCTGAGAGGTCTGCAGGTGCGAGAAAGATAAGCGGACCGGCGATATACCTAGCCGTATCGCGTGAATAATTCGCTACTCGCATAACGTTGGGGGAACGTAATAAATGTATAAACGTCTTATTCTTAAAGGTACTGTGGAGGTTTGGGAAGTGTTTCATTATTTTTTCTCCTCGCGATTCATACGTTATACATTTGTGCGTTAACCATTCATTACTGGATGCTGTTAGTACATCGAGTTTTTGATTACTTATGTCATATCAGAGTTTCATCATTTGTAACCAGGATTGAAACTTGTGTGACAAATATATATATTTCGTCACAAATTATTAAAGCAATTTATGACGAGTACATGTGTAAATCTTGAGTAATATAAATAATCGCGTTGCCTAATACATAATAAATAAATATCTAAACTATCATTAAGAGTACTGTTCTATAAAGTTTACGAATATAGGCATTTTATATCACCTTATTTTTTGGAAAGCAGCATACTGGCTGGTATATGAGAAACGCAAACTTCATTGTTGCAAATATTTAAAAACAAAGAACTATTTGACTAGCGCCATTTCATGCACGCGGATTACCTTAAAGTGTTTTGCATAGCTATTTATCTCATATTGGTGTCCAACTCATAATCCGCTAGGAAGTTTCAAAATTAATGGAGCAAAATCTTACACAGGTATCATGGATGAGGAAACGGGACTTACACATCCTGACTTCGCACATCTTCACTTATACCGGAGATGCGAGGTTCAGCGTTCTGCATCCGGAGCCATCTGACGACTGGGATCTGAAGATCGACTACGTCCAGCTCAGAGACGCCGGTGTCTACGAATGCCAGATCAACACAGAGCCCAAAATCAACATGGCCGTAAAAAGTGCGTGATTTATGGGCAACTCATTTATTTTACGCGCGATCATTCATAACTAACACGCACACAAGTTCGTTTCAAAAGTATACGACGCATTTATGAATGACTACCGCATTGTCAACAAGTTCTGTTTTCTAAGGAATGGAATGGCAATTTTTTTTGAAAAAAATAAAGTTTGATTTTGTTTTAATAAACGATTATACTACCGAGTCTGAACCTCCTGTGTGAATTTGGGTACCTTTAGAAAAACCATACCTGTATAGCGGGTTGTTTGGTCTTAATTATTATTGCTTTGGTAGGGTCACGCAAAAGTCTTCGATGTGCCTATTTGCGTAACATTTGGTTTGACCGGGGAATCCCACCTTATACAAGTTCGGCGGGTAGTTGATATATTATAATGTTTCTTCTGGTAAGTGAGGTAATTGGAGTCCACTTTTTAAGATTTGGCCAGGCATCTGCAAACCTACGCGCCCGACAAATGTCCATAGGCAGCGGTTATCACCCGACATCAGATAAACCGTCCGCTAGCTTGCCACCTTTTCACATAAAAAAAGAAAAACTTTTTTAAGTATTAGATACCGGATTGCTGACTTATAATCCTTTCAGCTTTTCACTCCGTAACTTCTTCCGTTCGCTTGATGACAATATGTCCTGCCCTCCAAAATGAGAACCTTTTACTAGCTCTGGTCAATGATCAGATCGATTATGTTTTTACGCAATCCGTTACAACACTCATATAGAAACAAGTATATAGAATAATTTTTAACAAAAAAAAACTGACTTCTATCCGGAAACTAAAAAACCTTGTTAATACCTAGAACATTTGACGATTGCTCTCGATTTCTCTGGAATACCATCATCAGATCCGGGTTTCCTTATCAAGATACTACCCTTGGGATATCTCCTTTCCAACAAAAAAAGAATCATCAAAATCGGTCCATGAACAACGAAGTAATCCGCGAACACACATAAATACGTTCGAATTGAGGAACCTCCTTCTTGTTTGAAGTCGGTTAAAAATAATAGTCAGACTTAATGACAATTATTTTTCTATATACTTATTTGTGAGATCTCATTAACGACATATATTCTCTTAGAATCAAGAAAACGAAAATGATATATTTTGTAAGATTAAAATTAAAAATTATTTGTGTCGTATAGCAATGGATGTCATGCTTTCAGTCCTTAGTCTAATGTACAAGTGTGGCTAATTGTGTTGCTAAGGAGACTCATAAATTAAGAAATCGAGATAGAGTCAACATTTTTCGCTACAGTCATGGGATCCTAGTACGATTCGAGCAGTTGCTAAGTTCGATTGGTAATTTAATTTATTAATATCTTCTATAACTATTTCTCTCGATCTCGATTTGTTAATATCTTATAGAAATATTTCTCTCGATCTTTATGATTAATCTTTGTGTGTAAATCACTTCTTTAGGTTGAGATAATTCTCTACTACAGTGAGTTCAACTTAGTAAGGAAAAACCGTTCCAAAGCGCGAAAGCGAGTGGCATCATATTTGATATACAAACAGCGGAGGAAATTCTAATTCGTGCAATTTATGTGAGTTACTATTAGAAGCGGGCTCGTATGAAATGCGAGTACGTAATCTCGCATTCATCTCTCGTCATATTAGAAGAAGGCTAATGCCTTGATACAAAGCGGTTGCTATTAGTATCAGTCGTTCCTGCCAGTGCTGATGCCAAAGCGCGTGTGGCGCATACGTTATGTTTGATACATGGCTAAATAAATTATGTGGATCGTGTTTCAAGCGAGATACTCTTGTAAGTGATTTTGGTAACTTATTTCGTTGTTAACAACAATATTTAATAGTTAGGGTTCCGTACCTAAAAAGGTACAAAAAGAAACCCTTAAGATCAGTCTCTTGTCCCTATGTCTGTCCGTGTTTCACCACCGATTTTATCAGTTGAAATTTATACTAAACTCTGACAATTCTAGGTCAACTGGAAGAACCCTATATTTTTTGGCTCGAAAACCTATATGGTAGTTCACTTGGACCTAGAATCACAAAATTTGGCAAAATGCAGGTGCTTACAGCACCAATAAGGGAAAAATTCCGAAAAATGAAAAAGTTGATACTTAATGTAACTTTAGGTACTTACTATTTTTCCCAAAAATCGTTTTATCTTGTTGACTGAGGATCTTGAATTTTTTTACACCTAATAGGGGCTAAAGACCATTTTTTTTTTTCAATTTGCTGCGTCCACCGGTCTTAGAGAAAATCGGCGGTGACTATTTGCCAATTTTATTATGGCGGTATAAAGGCTGGGTACGGAACCCTCGACGTACGAGTTGGACTCGCACTTGAACGGTTTTTATTTGCCGGGCTGATTTGATACGTTATTTAAACAATAAGGTTCAAATTATATGAGTGTATTGTAGAATTAGGTGTTATTGATGAGGACTTACTAGAGACAATACTGTTTCTCTTCTGCTCTTAACGAGAAAACGCAGAGTGTCTTGCCATCATCTTTGTATTTTTGTGAGCAAACATTTGAAAATATTTTGAATATATTTTTAGAACTTTATAACAACCCTTTGTATTTATATTAAATTAAAAAAAAATGTAATAATTTTAGAGCCGAGGGTTCGGTGGTGCAGTTGCAAAATAGTTACCTTCGTAGATTCCCCGCTGCAGTTATTGGTGTTACCTTTTTGATGTTCCGGATATGGGTGTTTGTTCCTATAGATGGTTGACGGGAGGTAGGTTGCCAGTCCTAAGAAAACCTAGCCAATACCATTAACAATACGACTCACTTCTTGTGCCAATCCAACCTAAATGGGAGGGTAGGAGCAAGAAGATAGAAGAATATATCTTGGAACTCTAGCAAACTTCGTTGACTATCAAAACTTTTACGAACAAAATATCGGCAAACATCTGATAAACCCATTTTAAAGTTAACGTCGTAAGCTGGAATGCTTCTAGATGAAGCTAAATAGAGAATGGATCTGAGCGATTGTTTTACAACAAATACCTTGTATGTGTGTGCCAGTCATTTCGATGTTGGATGGTAAAGTGGATCAGAAGTAGGATGTTCCACAGGCGTTTCTTATAATTAAAAAAGGGATAATGTACTAGCTACACATGAAGGGGTGCCTAAATACTGAGTGGGAGGACCTGATGGAAATCGCTGTGTGTGTTTAGATACCTCCAAAGTCTCGCTCCCAGCGGCACGCTGACCGTGGCCACCTTGTTGGGTTTACAGTGCAAATCTCCCACATGTTTTTTTTTTTTTTTTTTTTTTTTTTTTTATGCGAAAAGTTGTCAAACGAGCAGACGGTTCACCTGATGTTAAGTGAATACCGCCGCCCATGGACATCTGCCACACCAGAGGGTTACAGATGCGTTGACAACCTTTTGAAAATTGTGCCAACTGTCAACAGTCTATTACTTATTTTTCTGAAAGTAAACACATATTAATAGGTTTTTAAATTGGTATCACATTTTAACAGCACCATTAAATCAAACCACCATTAAAAAAACTGGTCAACGTATTTTTATGAACATTTTTTCATTCTACAAAATTAGATGATTTTTCTATTAAATTGGCAAAATGGACATTTAAAAAGGTACATAAATGTTCATTTTAAAATATGTACAACTTTTTAGCTGAAATTATAGGTGTAAAAAAATCGATGAGTAGAATAAGTAATACGGGAAAAAATTAAGTTCAGACTTCCCACGCTTTGAGTTTACGAAATTCTGCTCAGAATATTTACGCTGAAATATAATTGACGTTTTAAAATTTAATAAACAAGTCGTGACCTCACAAAATCCCTCTAAGATGTACTATGAAGTGAATAATTTAACAGCATCTTAAAGGCAAATCTTGTCAGTCTCCAGAGTAATACAAGAGATTAGGTCTTTTAAAATCATGACTTACATTATAATTCAGTACGAGGGTATTTCAAAGTAATTTGGAGAGCTAGCAAAGGTTTAGTTATAGATACTGATTAATATTTGATTCAGACTTTCGGGTCTCAGTTTTGGACGAAGATTTTATCGCAAAGGCAACTTTTCAGGGTTGACTGAAACGAGTTTACTGAAAACGTTGAATATTTTTCCACTATAGAAAACTTAAAGAAATGAACAGGCTTTTACTCAACTACTGTGATTACTTCCTTAAACTTGAGCAATGGTTACTATCAATGAGATGTGTACGATGAAGAAAAAAAAGACAGAGCAATTGCCATTACAGTAGCCACTGACAATGGTAATGATGCCTGGATACGGTTTGCCAAGTTTTGAATTTGTTGGCTTCCGCGCTAAAAAGATGAACATTGGAAAAACACGGTTTTAATCTTAAGTGCAGAGATGAGCACTATAAAAAAATAAAAAGATTTTCAGAATAAACCATCTTTATAATGGTCATAACTAGACACTTCTCAATATCAATCAGTACTTTTATTTAAAAGATTGCCTATCGATGTAAAAAGTAAGTATGCTGTACGTATGCAATATAAATAATATATAATAGCTAGGTAATATACGAATAGCTACAGTTTTTTTTTAAAGCCCCTAATGTTATGTTATTGTAGCGTTGTCGAGTGCCTTATTTGACTCTAAATCTCAACACTAAATAAATCTATCTCAACCAACTATATTATTAGTTGAAATTACTCAACAATATACTAGACAATGCGATTTTTTCTATGTAATAATGCGATATCTGTGTTTGAAAAAAATAGAATAACGAAAAAGCCTATACATGGCAATGGCTAAAATAAGATTCCTGTGCCATGTTCTGTTAATTTTGATGTTTCACGAGAAGTTTTAGCGACTGTATAAGATTCACAAGCGAAATTCCATGCATCAATCATTCGAACTAAAATAAATTTAGGTTGGTATCAAGAAGCGTGGCATAACCAGTCATAAGAAACCGAGTCGAAGTAACGGATTAAAGTTTCAAGTTTCAGTCAATTGCCTCATTCATCCTTTTGTTCAATTTCTTCTGCCTCGCTGGTTATAAATGGCTTTAATCGTTCTTAATACGCTTAAGTTTGATTTTGACCAAAAAACTTTCACTTCACAAGAAAATTATTAATTACAGGTTCTCTTTGTTTTATGTTACGTTTCGTATCGCTTAATTCTTTTATAGCGTATTGGTATTTTGCGTAAATATCACTATTCAAGTCAGGATAAGCCATAGGAGACAAGAAAAAGACGTCAAATGAAGAGCTACCTGTAGACTGAATACATTTCTTAGTTTAATACTAAAGTTTGTAAATTAGCACTTAACATCCTATTATTTATCAAGACAACTCCTAAGAAGAGCCCAATTTCAAAACGATTCGTTGGAATCAAAGCAATGTGATAATCTAAGTATACGGTTAAAAGGTTGCAGAAGAGTGGTTGGAGAATTTATTTACACTGCGGGGAAGAATTAAATGATTTGTGGGGATATTACCAGCTACTTTCAACTTCAACTGTGATCCATACTGATGGGAATGAATGGGGAAAAATATAATTTTTTATATGAAATGACTACGTTAATTATTACTTTTGACAGCCGAATAGTAATAGTTTTGAATCAGTTTAATAAAGTAGTTCAAATATATCGTCATGCACAAAGAACATCTCATTGCTTTATAAACTAAAGTGTATTGAGTATGATTCAGAATGATCCACGTCAATTATTATTATTTTTCTCAAATTAATTCATCCAGCCCAAGTATAATAAAATACCCACTCATATGGTACGCAATAACATTGAAGCCGTCATAGTTAAGCTACATCAATATTAAACGCAAGTAATTTTCCCCCGAAGGAAATGGATTGGCTTAGTAACTTGTATTATCATTACGAATATCATTAGGAAACTGTGGTAGATTTAAAAAATGACTATTGATAAATTAAATGTATATTTCTTATTTCGATGAATAGATGATTTGAATTTTGAATTTGAATTTGTATTTGAATAAGTAAACATCTGCACGCTGTCGGTTTACTTTTTATTAAATGCTATTTTAAAATATTTCTTTCGATATGATGAGTTTTAATTTTTTAAAAGCTTAAGTTTATTGCACTACCAGTAGCTCTAAAAGCTATACAAATCATATTGATCAAAAACTGGAAATCAAGTTCAGATTCCGACAGTGAAAATTAATTGAAAACATTAATTATAAACTATGTATAAGAATGCATACGTAGCCCGTTCCTGAAATGGCCAACAAAGTGAGCGTCATGCGAAATAAAAGTGGCACAACTTTTTGTACCGCTCGTTTGTAGTAACACCAAAGCAATTTGTCAGTACACGCCTCACTGCCTGATGTATCCTCTCAAATTCCACACTCAGCCAATTACAACGCTTGTTACGTTGAAATATGTCCAAAAACAGCTCATTGCGCATACATCTTCAGTGATATCCATAATTGTCCAGTGACTCTCGTCTTCTGCAATTCCACCGTGATAGCGCACTTCCGTAAATATTGTACACTACATGGTCTTCTGTTGTCGTGGATAAATAATATTGAATTGGAAGATTTTTTTAATAGCAGTGTACACTAATGGTCGGTTTCAATATTATATCTACTGATAGATTTGGTTTTGCTTACGTACAAAAAAAGAATACTCGATAATACATCTGCGATCGCATCAGAGCATGAGCCGCAGGAGCGGCCTTAAACAGTTCAACACACTTCCTTTGGAGAAAGAACCAGTTTTACTTCTTCTCCATGTTAAATGCATTCAAACGTGGTGCATGTTCTAGTCCTTATGGATGGGCAACGATTCCTCCTAGTCCACAGCCAGGAAATCGCTGTTGGTTATTCGTTCACCGCTCATTTTCTTATCCGCGACCCCACCTCAACGAACAATAAAGATTATAATTATTTTCACTAAAATACTTTCCACAAATTCCTGTCAAACAAATTCCTTTCAAAAGTTTCCGGAATGAATGATAAAAAAATAAATTAAAGGTTAAAAATGCATTTATTGTTTCCCAAAAAAAAAAAAAAAAGAGTGAATCACTTTTCGTAAATGCAGTTTATTACGATTAAACCAATTATGAAAACATTTATGCCACTTATGGTGACATCAAAAAAGTGTTTTTCATATTCTTTGACAGCCTCTTCTGATTATGAAAATCGTTGACCGCGGAGATGGTTCTTAATTTTTGAGAAGAGCAAAGAGACACAAGGAGCCAGGAGGTTGGGACTGTATGCAGGATGGCTCATAAGTTCTAAGTTTTTCAAAGATTCGTTTATCTGTCTGACCGTATGGGAACTAGCAGTGTCGTGGTGCAAGCTGATACGGCGTTTACGGTTATTTTTATTCAGTTCGTCAGTAACTTCCGGTAAACAAATGGTCGTGTACCAGTCACTGCTTACGATAGGACTATTCTCTACAGAATCAGTAGCCACGTGTCCAATTTTATTAAAAAAGTAGCAGTCATCTGCTTAGATGCACTTTTTACATGCGCCGCTTAGATTGGTTTCCTGATAGACTTATAAGCTCGATTGCAGTTCTGGGATCGTAGTAATAAATCACCTGTCATATTTCGTCACCTGTTACTATGTCCTACACCAAATTTGACACTCCTTCGTTTAATCTGGTAATCATGGCATTGCACCAAGTTACGCGGTCCGTTTTTTGAGCTTCTGAACACTGGCGTATATTGGCTTAGTGATGAGCTAGTGCGATAGTGAGCCCAATGTCCAATGCGATAAAAAAATTGTTAAAAAATTCTTTTTATTCACCTCATTATCAACAAAATGTATATAAAGTTATATATGGTGTATAAAAACGTCTACAGATTGTGTGTTTTTCTTTATTATTGTTCCTCTTTAGATAACACCGGCGTGATATGTTTATTTTTGACCATATTTAAATGAAATGTCTAAATGATCGCAATATAAAAGCTGACTTCATAATTAAACTATGTACATTCCTAAACATTAGGAAACTTCCCTAATCTTATTTAGTCTAGACAGTTTAAAACAGTCGGCTCATCGTTAATTAACATAATTTTATAGAAAAACTTCTTCCAACAAGTTCTTGTTTCCAGTTTGTTTTTGATACAATCTGGAATAAAAAAAAATGTTTTCACCTTTATTATGTTCCATGACTTTTCTTTTGTTAAACATAATAATTTTAAGAAAGAACAGTATTCTTATAATTTGACAATTAAATATGTAATGTGCAAACTATTATAAGAACTAAATTTGAAAAAATAAGTGGTTTAATTTTTTTAACGCAAACATCTGGGCTTTTAACGTTATTCCAAATGTATGTTTTTTTACAAAGTAATTGAACCAATAAAACTGATACATCTTAAGAAGTTGTCGCGCGTACACTGAAAATGTTGGTATTTACGCAATTCGTCACAATCAGCTATAAGTAAGCAAGGGGCTGTCTCGAGTAAAATTTATAGTACTTCCGTCTGTTTCCAATTACATTTGTCCTCGGCGTGAGCCTGCGTAATTCTAGCTCGTCAAATGCATCGCTATTAGGGCCATCTGCTATTTTGTATTCCTCGACGCCTTCTCGCCTAAGCTATTATCTTGTGAATTCCAGATGAGTCCCACACCCCCGCGACCCCGGCTCCGCCCCGTTCTTCAGGTACTTTCGATTCCTATAATTCGTTTCATTTATATATTAGCTCGGTAAAGCATCAGTCTGTGTGTAACCCTGGCTATTTGCGCTGTATACTTTGTGTTAAATGTCTCTTTAAATAATTAAATTTTTCGCATATGTCCACTACCGCCTTTACAATGTACCTATAGATTTTCAACTACCTAGGGCCCTAGGGATGTCATGAATAGTAGTTATGTTGTAACAAATATATGTCAAGTCATCGTTTAAATAAACCCAAAAAAATTATATTAGCCAATACGTATAACAAGGCACCATACATTTATATATAAGAAGGAAATAAGTATCCGACCGAAAAAACTTTCCACGAAGACTTAAATCGAACGGAATTCAATTAAACCTAAGTAAATTGACTTAATACGATTTATCCGAATTTATTGAGCAATTTGGGTCACCCGAATAATTGATCGCCACGAAAAAGGAAAACGATTGAACCTAAACCGCAAAGTACGTCACATGCACCATCAAGTTAGGTCTTGTATGAGGGTCAAAGCACATTATGATTAGTTAATCGTTAGTTACATCATAAGAAGGAAAAATGCTTTGAAATTGCTTACAAGAAGCTGTTTTTTATTAATCATGGCTCGATAAATTTCCAACTTTTTAAATTAATCCATTTGTTTGTTGCAGTTGCCGTGGCAAACATTTGGGGCTCGCAAGAAGTGATAGTTATGAAAGGAAGTACTTTAGCTCTAACGTGCTCTGTGAATATTCAGTCGTCTCCACCCTCCAGCGCATCTATTTCGTGGTGAGAGATGTTCCAATGTTTTACGTAATACTAAGACCCGATAATTTCATCATATTCTGTTAGTATATTAAATAATTACATAAAATAATAAAAGTAACAATGCCCCATTGGTGGGCAAAGACCTTGTCTGAACTGAGTGTGCTAGAGCAGAGTCCACCGCGAAACCCCATTACGGATTGGTAGACTACACATAGCTTTCAAATATTTTCTTAATGTTTCGAAAATATGCAGGTTTCATCAAGATGTTTTTCTTGACTTCTGAACACGTGATAAGTCAGTACTTACAATTACAATTAGCGATATCATTGGTGCTAGCACCGCGTAGGTTGCTAAAATATAAAAGTGAATTAAAAATGACACTGAACTAACCCGGTAAAGAAATAATTACATGAATACCTTATAATTACATAAGTTAATTAAATTAACCTATTTAATTGTTCACCATAAAGTATTTTTTTTATGTCATTAACTGTTTTTTAAGAAATTGCAACCCTCGTAGTTTTTTCAAGAATGCTAATATGTAACATGTTTATGTACATAAATACGATTACATTATTTATTTCATATAATTATACGTAAGTAGGCCAGACAAGACAAATAAAAAAAAAACATCAAATTGAGAGCGTAAACAAAATTAATGAGGACAATACAATCAACGAAATGTGGATGTAATTGGGTCTCGGAATGTGAAAATACATTTTGAAATACGATATTACTATCATATATGTGCATATATTATTTATCTTTTAAATAAAATCATCAACTCTTAGTGCTCCATGGTACTACTATCTGATAACTCCAGCCCGATCTCAACCTGTACTGAGGTTTTTGTTAATAATTTGGTGACTGTTATTAAGTCGATATTTATGTTTTCGAACCTGACAATCCTGGGTTATTTTTGGGCAAACATTATAAACACTATCATATCTTGAGTAATCCCTTAAAGTAAACCGGAAGTAATATAATCAATAGAGACACATCGTCAAACATCAGAAAAACCAAAAACTCGTCAGTTTTCCAATGTAACGATTTTAACCTTCGCAGTAATAATATATAGAGCACCTGAGGAACATCAAAAAAATATAATATACTAACGCCCCGTTTCTGAAACACTGATCATCGTAGGTGCCAAATAATCTGATGTCAAATGGCTTTTCAAATGTCATTTGAGTTGCCAAAGGATGCTTAAACTCTTTGAATTGATCATTCTGATCATTAAGAAGATCGTTCTGGTCCATTTAGAAAGTTTAACCATCCTTTGGGCAACTAAAATTAAATTTGAAAAGCCATTTGACATCTGATTAGTTGATATCGACGATAATCAGTGTTTCAGAAACCAGGCGTAAGAGATATATATCACTTATTATATATAATGTCACTTAGTTTATTATATTTTATGTTACTCAGGTGCTCTGTATATACATATCGCTGCGAATGTTTAAAATCGTTACATTGGAACACTAACGAGTTTTTCGTTTCTATATAATATATTTTATATAATATATTTTAAAGTTAAACACTTGTGCAGGTATCATGGCAATTCGGTATTGGATTTCGACTCGCCAAGAGGTGGGATTAGCTTGGAGACGGAGAAGACGGAGAGTGGTACCACAAGTAAGCTGCTGGTTACGAAAGCGGATCTGACGGATTCCGGCAACTACTCATGTGTACCGAACAACGCGCAACCAGCTTCCGTTACGGTACACGTATTACTTGGTGAGTTATTAGAAATTATTCTATTTAAAAAAAACCTAACACCAGATATCTTTTACTTAATTATCATTACAGTGTTGTGTCTACAACTGCCTCACGAAGAACTAGCTCGCCTTGTCTGTTATGCAAAGAGCTGCAAAGAGATAATTTTCCACATTTATGAAATAAGATAAATTGGAATCTATTATAATCACGCGGTGAAATTTCTATCTATTTAAAGTTTTGCATGCTCAGTGCTAAAGTTAGGTCAAATACATTATTATTATTATATACTTTACTGTACACCGTGTGCTCAATAAACTTACTTGATAAAAACAAAATAAACTATAATAAATGTACATAAAGATAAATAAATGTAGGTGAGAATAACAATTAAATCTCTTATTATAATGGCAATGTAAAATAATATTAAATTACATATAGGCCATATACATGAATATAAACAATAGGCTTACTAAGATAAATATACATATCTTAGTAAGCCTATTGAAGGATATTGCAAAATCTACCTGCATTTGATTTTGGCACATCCTTCGAAGATGGGCCTTTTGATTTGAAAGGTTTCTGTCAACCTCTGTGCAGGGGAGGAGAAACCAGCCGCAATGCAAACCAGCAGCGGGGCGGCTTCGTACTTGTCGTCGCAATTGAGCTGCGCCATCTTCGCTTACGTTCTATCCTCCATGGCTTGCAGATGATCACCTTAAAACGGGAATGGGTTAAGAGCAGAAGCTTTTGTTTAAGCAACCAGGCTAAGCATTCGATTGAAGTTTCAACCAGAACATGGATTAAGTAGTGAATAAAGCATATAATTCAATGCATTATGCGACGATTTCATTAAATACTTGTTAAAAAATGTTATAAATAACAGGAATAATTTGTATTTGGATGATCTTATAAATTTTTCCGTTTGAACATTCCTTACATAAACGCTTAAGTGATTTTATATTCAGTTTATTGCCGTTAGTAGCATTTGTAGAATGACAAATTTGGGGTACTATTTGAAAATTTCAAGTATTTTTTAAATAGTGATAAATGAAAAAAAAAATTAAGAAAAACAAAAGCTTCTTGCTTCTTTGATAAGAAAGAAAACTGTTTATATAATTGATAAGATATAAAATAAGGGTCGTTAGAAACATGTTATAAGTAATTTAATAAAAAAACCAAGAGAGAAGGAAGAAAAGAATAAAACAATTGGTGATTGAGTGAAAATTAGATTTAATATTTAGTAATAATCTGTTGTCAAAGCGACAGATGACGCAAATTATCATCATCATCGGAGAATCCAACTTATATATTTATAATTTGTTATCTAAACCCTAAAAGTGGGCTTCGAAAGATATATTTTTCCCTGATATCACTTTCGTTGGCAGTGAATGAGTCCTCAATTGAAACAATTTTAAATACCAATTATAATTTTATATAAAGGAATTCATAATTGTGGGAATTTCCAAAACGAAAATTTGGGAAAACAAAGATCATTTCTTTGTCATATTCTGTGATGACAGTTTTTAATTTAAAAACTACAACACTGTTAACAATTTTACTTTGTCTGGTTATGTAAATATGCTAACTGATACGTAAACGTTACTTTATGAGGTATCGAATCGCAATGTAAATATTTTGAATGGTTGTAAATATTGACATTTTCAGTTTACCAAATGAATTACTAGTAGTTGTTCCACCGCATTAGGTGATAAAATTGTTTGTTTCGTTCCTAGAACAAATGTTAGTTCTAATAAAAGAAACACCTCTTTTCCTCAGGATAATTTATTGCCAGACCGAATGCTTATATAATCAGCTTATTTATATTAATTTACATCTATACGAGCTACGAGTTAGTTAAAAAGTTAGAGCGAGCTTTTAACAATTAAAATAAATTAACGGACTAGCCTTCACTTTGCATAATTGTCAACAAAATCGGACGTCCTTCATTAACTAATAATTATACTTTTATGTATACATGCTTTGTCATTTTCGAATTCCATAATGAAATTAAAAATTTAACTACCTAATGAATAATAATACCCGTAGAACAAATTTTGCTTTTACTTTAGGCTTTATTAATTTATTTACTATACCCAAAAAGCGAATTTTAAATTCGACGATTTTGACGATACAGATTAAGAAGATTTTTTTATAATTCCTGCGTAAACATCAAACGGTACAATATCAAATTCGAATTTACGCTACGTATGCGTAATGTATCCCGTCATCATCCCCTTTAATAAATTTTCGTTCGCGCACGACGCAGTTGAAAAATTCCAAATATATAAGCCATCCCTTTTTCTCTTCATAATGAAAACGTAATGTTTATTTAGGCCTTTCATTTCGGCGCAACATAAAAATGCCTTAATACAAAGCGGGCGCGGCGAATGTACGAATGTCTCGTTACGGCAGAATGCTTTGCATAAAAACGCGATCAAAGTTACGCGGTCCAAATTAGGGTTGGCGGCAATTACGCCGACGCAATTGTTCACCGTAAACCGGCGCAACTTGATGGCCTTGAACGGTGAATTGGGTTAAATGAAGGAGCGCCTTGAATAGAACCGCGCTATCTTCGACTCACATCTCTCCTTGGGATGCTACAAGATATTTATCATTTAATACATTTTTACAACTATCATCATTCCTCTCGGACGATTTTGTAGAAATGGAGATCAAAGTCAAAAATGAATATCATTTTATCAAATCAAATTGAATAGATCCTGTGGCTCGCTATCGTTCTTATATATTTTAATTAAATAGGGTGCCTGAGGAAAAGGGGTGAATTAAATATAATTTAGTGGGTAACGACAAATAAATTAAAATAAATTATTAAATCTATTGAATGTTTTTACTGTATAAACTTGACTATACTAATTCTTCTGTTAAAATTGGCTCTCATTTACCAAATTCGCATAGCTTAGTAATAAAATTTATAGTACTACTAACTAGTTATTTTAAAACATTGTAATTAGGAGTTAATTTCATAGCTGACTACAAAATAAACAAAAAAAAATACTATTGGCTTATGACAATCAGAAAGCTGTATTTGTCTCATAATAAAACCGGCCAAGTACAAGTCGGACTCGCGCTGGAATGGTTGTTTTTTTTTTTTTTTAGTATTTGTTTTTATAGGGGCAACGGAAATACAGCATCTGTGAAAATTTCAACTTTCTAACCATCACGGTTCATGAAATACAGCCTTGTGACAGATGGGCAGAGACAGATAGACAGACAACAGTCTCAATAATAGGGTCCCATTACATCTTTGGGTACGGAACCCTAAAAATTGGCAAGGAGAAGCGATCATGTGACCAGAAAGTATTTTTTTAGTATGTAGTAGTAGTTTTTGAAAGTATTTTTAAGTATTGATTATTATAAACAACTTGTACAAACACCAGTTAAATTTCCTCTAATAGAAAAATCATAAATGTACAGAAAATATAAAGTTAAATAAAAAAAGCAATTGCAACCTAAACAAATAAAATACAAACAGTAACAATATTATTGCTGAGAAAACTTTGTCATACACACTTTGTACACATTATTTGAATCTAGTTGATCTGTGTTGACGACTACTCGAAACTAAACTTTGTAATGGACTATGTGATTTAGTTCTACTTTGATTTGTTTGCTGGCTTATGAGGTACTAAATCAATATAATATATTGTAAGGATATTTTTGTACTGAGAAACCCAATATATAATCATTCTAATGTTATATCCACAATAACCTCGACAATTTATTTAAAATATCATAGATATGATCACAGAAGTCAACAAAAGGTAAATTAGCTTGAAAAGCCACTGGAAGCTGAAACCGAAAATGGTAGGCATGCTAAGCAGAATAAATGAGAGTCAATTCCTAAAACTGTTGAATCTTTAATTCCTCTGTATACTTGTAAAGTAGACGATACCGATTATTACAATAAGTTAGTTGGGCTAATACTAGCTATGTTCCTTAAAATAACGCGTAGAATGATGTTATAAATGTAATTTCGTCTTATTTGTACGTATGTGCGTGTTTATTAAACGAACAGACAATTGGTGAGATGCCCCTACGAGGGGCCGTGCCGATTTTCTTTTGTATTTTGTAAATAAATGTAACACGAGCGATGGGAGTATTAATAAACATTATAAAACTAAAATTGGCTTTCATTAACCGCTGCTTTCCCTATTAAATATGACACCTCTATCGATGTGGCGCGAGTAATTGTAAACTGAATGATAACACAGTTACACAAGTGCTAATTTAAATTATTGAATTAGATAGATTTTAGTAATTAAAAAACAAAATTATTATTTTTCACTCGGCGGTGCTGCTATTTGCTTCAAAGCCAGAGGTCTCGAGTTCGATTCCTGTGGTATATTTGTATTGTGTTTTGTATATTTGTTTAACCCTCGGATAATCATTCCGGATCTGTGTTTGTTCCCAGGGAGGGACGACGTCACGAAGTCAACTGGTCGTGAAACACCTAGCCAATACCATTAACTACATAACATTTTTATTATTATTCATTAATACATTTAATCGGTGGCAGGGCCACGCAGTAGCCTCGGCTGTTGCACGAATGGGCAGGCCCGTCCGGGTAAGTACCAAGACCTTACAGAAGACCGGCGTAACGTAAAATCATAATACTTTCTCGTTTGTACTGGTGAGTGAGGTGGTCGGAGCACAATTTGCAAAAGGTTGTCAACGCATCTGTAACCCTCGGGTGTAGCAGATGTCCATGGATGACGGCTATTCACTTAACATCAGGTGAACCGTCAGCTTGCATGGCAACTTTTCACATAAAAAAAAAGCATAAGCAGGAAGTACAAGATTAAGAAGTTCGAGTTTTTTAAAATATTGCATGGCTAATACGCTTCAATCGCGCCAATTCTATTAATTAAATTAAAAATGGAACAAAACCGGTCAAGTGCGAGTGGGACTCCGTACCATTTTCTATAAAAATGGCAAAAAAATCACGTCTGCTGTATGGGAGCCGCGCTTAGTATTTTTTATTCTGTTTTTTAGTGTTAGTTGTTGTAGCGGCAACAGAAATACATCATCTGTGAAAATTTCAACTATATTACTATCACGGTTCATGAGATACAGCCTGGTGACAGACGGACAGACAGACAGACAAAAAACGGAGTCTTAGTAATGGGGTCCCGTTTTACTCCATTTAGTTTGACGTAGTTTGGCTCCATCTAGTGCGCATCCTTTATATCATAAAAAACCTTTGAAATAACATTCTACTATAGTATTATCTGTCGTGGGACAACGCAGCAGTGTTCGCTGTTGCACGAATGGGCGGGTCCGTCCGGATTAGCACCACGACCTGACATCACCTGGTGAGTGAGGTAGCCGGGGCCCACTTTATTTAAAGGTGGCAACGCATCTGCAACCCCACGGGTGCTGCAGATGTCCATGAGCGGCGGCTATTCACTTCACATCAGGTGAACCGCCAGCACGATTGCCACTATCTCACTTGAAAAACAAATTAATAAAAATGAACATATGCAACGAGATATGTCGCCATTGCTCTTAAAATTATAGGGTTGATTTACATTTTTAATGTTAGTCTCTGCACTCAAGATGAAACTTCAAACTTGTATATGAATGAACAAGCACAGTTTTCAAACCTGGCCCCTATGGTTTCGCGCCCAGAACGCCATTATAACTTCGAACTTAAATTTTTAAGAGTTAACGTTTAGAGCCGACAGAA